ACCCAGCAGACGGGAATAAAAACCAAACACCCCCCCACCCCACCCCCGCTGCCAATCCTCAACAGAAATGCTCACAACAATGAAACAGGAGGAAGAACAGTGGGTGGGCAGGCAGGTGTCTGGTTTGGCTGTGGCTTGGGGGGCACTTTTTTCAGTGCCATTGTAACTTCGAACAGTCGCTAAGTGAACTGTTGTAAGTCGAGGACAACCTGTACTTTATCACTTTTTTCCCTTTTTTTTGGTCATCAAGTTTTTGACACCTTGCTAGGTGACTGGTGGTACTCGGATGTTACCATATCCTAAAAGTGGTACAATGTGTGAAAAGGTTGAAAAGCCCTGCTCTATTGCTTCTCTGTTTCCATGCCTTGGAGGAAAGCGAACAGCCCTAAGTTGCTCCCGGCCTCTCAGAATAACAGAGTTGGAAGGGATCTTGAAGGTCTTCTTGTCCAACACCCTGCACAAGCAGGACACCCAGAAAAAAAAAATCTCTTTTCACTTCTCCAACTTGTCCTCAGCTCACCTTCCAGTTGCTGCTCTTCCCTTGGAAGAACATAAAAGCCACTCTGCAGGCCACATTCCTCCCATGAGTGGATCCAGAAGTTCCTCTCTGCTTCTCCTCCCACCCCCCATCTTTTCTAGCAATGCAGCACTTGACGTTTTTAACTCCTTTTAGCTCCACCACAGATACCGCTAAGCAGCGTTTCTCAACCTTGACAATTTTAAGGCATGTGGACTTCAACTCCCAGAATTCTGGGAGTTGGAGTGGAATTCTGGGAGTTGAAGTCCACATGCCTTAAAATTGTCAAGGTTGAGAAACACTGCGCTATTGCATTGTTGGCTTTCCAGTCACAGATGCTGCTTATCTGCCAACTCGCGACAGAAGGTCGAAAAACAGACTTGTCCCGTCTCTACTTAAGGAGTTCGGGTCTTTTGCTGGAGGACTGGCGGTGCCCCTGTCGCCCCCTCCCCGCAGCGGCTTCCACGAAAGGGTTAAACGCAGAGAGCTTTTCTCTTCCGCCTAGAGAGGAGGCAGGAAAGACGGGGGAGGGGGGGAAGGGACTGGGAGCCCAGTTTCAGGCCTTTCCCGCCTGTCCTTCCTGGTCTCCCGACGTCTCTTCAGCCAGGGCTGCCGGAGATTCCCCTCTCGAGGAGGGGCGCGCAAGAGGCGCCAGGTGGGCAAGGACGCTGCGAGAGGGGAAGGGGAACAGGAGGGGGGGAGGAGGGGGGGAAATCCCCAGGAGGGGGGAAGGGGAGGAGGGATTCCTCGGGGGAGGGAGGGAGGGAGGGAGGGAGAGCGAGGTGGGTTTCCCCCAGTTGCGCCCCCTCCCCTTCCGAGTCTCCGCCTTTCCTTGCGAGCTTTTCTGCTCCGTGGGAACCGCTGTGCACCCCCCTTCTCCTCCTCCTCGGTTGCTGCTTCCGCGAACGGCTCTCCGACCCCCTTCAAATCCTTTCCCCGAGCTCCCTGCAGCCCAACGTCTTGGTGCATCCCGGCTCCCGGCGTGGGGCCTGCTGGTATTCTTCGGAAGGTTGGGCACCGCCGTTCCCACGTTCCCCTGTCGCTGCTGGGAAGGATCAGTCTCCCAGCGTCTGGAGGGGAGGACGAGGACTCGGGGAGATCCGAGCTCAGAGGGATCGTGACTGAAGGGGCTCCCCTCCGTGCTAGGAGGAGCCGAATGGCATCTGGAAGGCGAGGGACAGAGACGCGGGAGGCGTCCAGGTGGGCTTGGGCGATGGGCAGCCCTGTCCAGGTGGGCTTGCTTTGCGATGCAGCACCTGAATCTGCCTCTCTTACATGCCCAGATTCCCTCTCTTACATGCCCAGATTCCCTCTCTTACATGCCCAGATTCCCTCTCTGCCTCTCTTACATGCCCAGATTCCCTCTCTTACATACCCAGATTCCCTCTCTTACATGCCCAGATTCCCTCTCTGCCTCTCTTACATGCCCAGATTCCCTCCTGTCAGCGAGAACAATTAATCGGCGGAATGGCTTGCCTCCAGAAGTTGTGGGTGTTCCATCAGGGGAGGTTTTCAAGAGGAGGTTGGATAGGCATTTGTCTGGAATGGAACAGGGTCCCCTGCTTGGAGAGTTGGTCCCTTCCAACTCTTATTCTCTAATTCTGTTAGAATTTCATGAACGTTTAGGGCTCAACGCGTAGCTAATCTTCACAAGCTAAGCAGTGTCACTATTTCTCTATTTCACTTGGGTCAGTTACTTGATAGCATGTAATCCAGTGGTTCTCAACCTGTGGGTCGGGACCCCATTTGGGGTCGATCGACCATTTCATGGGGGTCGCCAAGCAAGGCTGTCCGCCATTTGTTTTGTCCGCCATTTTTTTTTGTCCGCCATTTTTTCCCCTTTTCCGGTGGGTGCCTTACCTCCCTTGGGCTGGGCCAGCTGGTGGTCGGCCTGCTCCGTCTCTGCCGCTTGCCAGCTACGCCTCGGCCGGCGCAGGGGGCGGAACCACGCATGCGCGGCGCTCCCGGGCAGGGAAAGTCCTCGACTTACGACTGGTTGGGTACTCCTCAACTTACGACCGGTTTAGTCCTCGACTTACGACCAGTTTAGTCCTCAACTTACGACCGGTTGGGGTCGCGGCATTAAAAAGGTTGAGAACCACTGATGTAATCAATGCCTTACGGGTGGTAGATATGGGACAAGCATGTTTTTCCGCCTCCTGTCAGGAGATGGCGACCAAGGAAGGCAACATCTCTGCCTAGAAAGCCGGCAATACACTAGCCCCACGGTGGTTTAGCTTAAAGGAGTTAAAACCATTGAGTACTTTCATGCTAGAAAGCATAGAAGGAGATAGAAGCTCATAGGAACTTCCTCCTCCGGCCCACCCATGGGAGGGGGGGGGTTGATATGCTGGGTCCCTTTTGTGCTGGGTCGAAGCAGCAGCTTGAAGGTGAGTTGAGGGCAGGTCGGAGGAGAAGCCGGGAACAAGCGGGGCTGTTCGGTTCGGTGCACATTTATGATAGTCGCAGCATCCTATGCTTTGTGATCCCCTTTTGTGACCTTCCCAGCTAGCTTCCCAGTGTTGTGGCTCCGTCTTGTGAGCCCCTCTTATCGGAGGAAGAAGGCTCCGAACATGAAGGAGAGGAGATGGCCAGGCCTCCCTCTCCAGGACCCTCCTCCTTTGGCAATGCCTCCGGTGTCTCCCGACGGAGAAGAGATTGGCCAGGAGCCAGGTGGTTCTGAGATTGGCCAGGAGCCAGGTGTGTCGGATAATGAGGAAGAAAAGTTGTGGCTGGATCCACGCCAGCGTAGAAGCGACAAGCGTGCGCAGCAGAAAAAGAGACGTGCCAGAGATTAAGCTGAGTCACTGGACCACACCCCACAGGCTATAAAAGGGTGGTGGTGGCCATTTGGACCTCTGTGACGGACAAAAGCTGAATCTCTGGCGAAGTAGTTTGCTGTGGCTTTAAACTGTGTGTATTGTTTTTGTTTCTGTGTGTTTGGAGTAAAAAGGTCTTGGCAGGCAGCTACGGAGCTGCTGCCAAGTTTCTTATCTGTGCAGTGGTGTCTGGAGAAGTCTTTAACCCTCGGCTGGCTGTTTGGGTGTGTGGGTCGGAACGGGGACAGAACACCCATAAGCAAAATCCGTGGGGATGCTGGCAAGAAGTTGCAAGTCACAGTCATGCGAAATTGCCTTTAACAACCCTCATGCAGAGGGGCAGGTGTAGGTTGGCACTGCCATCATGCTTAATGATTGGGCTGCTTAGTGACACAGATGTCAGTCCCAAATGCGGTCAATAAGTGAGGTCTACTTGAATTGGGATGTCACCAGAATAGTTGTGGACAGTGTTTTCTGCCCTTGCTTGGAGCTGAGGACATTTTTCTGGCTGAAAACAAATAGATTTTCCACATATATACATCACTATAGGCAGTGCTTTTTTTCTAAAAAAAAAAAAAAAAAAAAGGTGCCGGAACTCACACACGTCATACAACCCGCCTTGCCTACCCTACAAGGTTCCATCCAAAAAAGGTGCCGGAACTCCGTTCTGTGCGTTCTATGAGAAAAAAAGCCCTGACTATAGGTGTGTGTATTTGTACTTATTTATTTATTTATTTATTTATATTTATATTTATATCCCGCCCTTCTCCTTGCGGACTCAGGGCGGCTAACAACCAAATAAAAATACAAAATATCAAACTATAGATTAAAACTTAATTAAAAGGCAAATATTAATAATTGGTCTAATTAAAA